CCCCGAACAATGAATTTGGAGTCCGTAAGTGGAAACCGGAGGAAGATTCCGCGACAATATTTCCCCAATCCAGTCCTCTCTAAATATTCCATCATTCGCACAATCGAGTCTTTGTGAACGTGATGGCAACTGGAGAACCTGACGTGCCGGAGAACTCGATGTTCTCTATTCGTCGCTCCGCGACTTACGGGATTTCAACGGTATCATGCACACTGGTCAAAAAGTATGATATGAGTAGTAAAATTGGTGTATTTCTAGGATAAACGGCCATTGATCGTCTTTCAGGCGTGTTGTGGTCTTTATGCCGCGTAAACTTATATGAGTAATAGATAGCATTTTGTCGCACACCTGCAGGTTGCATTATAACAGCCTATGTTGTAGTTTAAAGTTGGTTCACTAAAGAATTACTACAACCCTTTAGTGACGTTAGCAAACGCAATGACCCTCCAGTCCAAATAATACAGTACACTGTCTGCTCTGGTGATCGTGTTATGACGGAAAGTGCTCTTCCCCTAACTAATGCTAGATGAAGTATTTAACCGCCATCCTCACTGTGTGTACGAAAATTGCAGTCTTAGGGATTCTATCATGCTACAAGACGTGGTGACTTCACACTCCGTCCGAAATCTAGTAGGATTTATCTTGGTTGTTTCAGGTAGCTTTGTGCTGAAGTACTTGAATACTTGACCTTTGACAATCTTGTCACGTTTGTTTTACTGTAGCATTTGTTTTAACGTGACGAGGACTCTGCCGCTTGTAAGCTTCGCGCCGCTTGCATGCTCTCTGGTCAGGTCGTTGCACATTTTGAATATTAACTTTATTCACTTACTGGCCTTCCTTACCTCTCTCCGTTTATGAGGTTAGTAAGCCGTAGTTCGTTAGTTCGCGGGAACGACATAACTTACGTCATTGGTGACTCCCGACGTTAGCGCAGACTTAAGATCTTTCCTTCTGTAACATTTAATGACATTTAAAGTCCTATATTTATTTGCTAAATTTTAGTTAATTTACATTTCCCGCTAACCTTTTCACGATATTGTGCTACCTATATTTTTCTTATTATGTCTTCCTCAACTCAACAACCTGACGTTCCTGCCGAGTCTGTACATGCCATCCATTTCACTTTGCCTGATTTCTGGCAACACGCTCCTGAACTTTATTTTATCCGCATTGAGTCAGCCTTTTACTCCGCCAACATTACGAAGGAGTTGTCGAAATACCACAAACTTGTGGAGGTTCTCCCTGCCAATATTATCTCACAAGTTCAACCCTTGTTAATGAAACCCCCTGCAGACGCTCCCTATTCTGCTCTGAAGGCGGAAATCCTTCGTCTCAATGCTATATCTGACCGACAACGCTACCACCAGTTGATCAAGGAGGAATCACTGGGTGACCGGAAGCCCTCAGAACTTCTCCGACGAATGCGTACTCTCTTAGGAGACATGCAGGTCGACGAAAAACTCATTAAACAGATGTTTCTAGATCGGCTGCCTGCAGATGTCCAAACGATTTTGGCATCCGGCTGGCAAGACCTTACACTTTCACATCTTGCTGAAAGGGCAGACCGAATGATAGAGGTTCAACGATTCCAGACACCTTCCGTTGCTCAGATTTCCACATCCTTTTCAACGGTTAACGAGCAGTTACTGCAACAGATGTCGGCTATGGCGAATGAGATAGCCTCCCTAAAACTACAGCTTGCTCGCATTACCTGTATTCGCTCACCCAGCCGTCAACGTTCACGTTCGCGACCTCGCACAGCCAATTTTTATTGGTATCACGCAAACTTTGCCACCAAGGCTCGCAAATATTCTTCCCCTTGTTCATTTAAACCGAAACAGGGAAACCAGCCAGCCAGAGAATAGACGCGACCGTTTTCTCTGTCTCTCCCAGCTCTGGTCGCACCGTTTATGTCCGCGACAATGTGACTCGCAGGCGTTTCTTGGTGGACACCGGAGCCCAGATCCGCGTGCTTCCCCCCACTCCAGTTGACCGCCGCTGTCCCAGCCCTGGTCTACATCTCCAAGCTGCAAAATGTTCCCCCATTTCCACTATTGGTAGTCGTTCCCTAACGCTAAACATTGGTTTACGTCGATCATTCTCCTGGATATTTGTGATTGCCGATGTGCCTCATGCGATCCTTGGTTCCGACTTCCTAGCCGAGTTTGATCTCCTTGTTGGCTGTCGGCGTTCCTGTCTCCTCGACCGCACAACTGGTCTTTCTGTCCGCGGTCTTACACCCTTTAATGACTCCTGCAATTTATCTGTTCTGGACACAGATATTGCTTGCCCATACCGAGACATGCTCCTCCAACACTCCAACATAATCAAACCCCAGTTTCGCAGTGGTGAGATCCAGCATGACGTTGTCCACCACATTCGCATCTCTGGCCCCCCAGTATTCGCACGGCCTAGACGACTGGCTCCGTCCCGTCTGCAAGCGGCAAAGGCCGAATTTGAGCACATGCTGCAACTGGGCATAATTCGGCCGTCCGAGAGTCCATGGGCGTCCCCTCTGCATATGGTGCCCAAGGCGACATCAGACGACTGGCGGCCCTGTGGTAACTATCGCGCCCTCAACAGTGCGACCATCCCGGATCGTTATCCCGTCCCTCGTCTTCAAGATCTTGCTGGAGCTCTTTTCGGCAAATCGGTTTTCTCGAAGATCGACCTTGTTCGGGCCTTCCATCAGATTCCTGTTGCTCCTGAGGATGTTCCCAAAACTGCCGTCACCACACCATTCGGCCTGTTCGAATTTATTCGCATGTCATTTGGTCTTCGCAATGCTGCCCAAACATTTCAGAGGTTCATTGGCCGAGTCCTACGTGGTCTCCCGTTTGTGTACGCCTACATAGATGACCTCCTGGTGGCCAGTCGAAATGCCGAGGAACACAAAGAGCATCTCGCCTTAGTGTTTGACCGCCGCGACCAGTTTGGCGTGGTCATTAACCCTTCGAAGTGTGTTCTGGGTGTGCCGTCCCTTGATTTTCTTGGTCACCATGTCGATGCACAAGGTTTGCGTCCCCTCTCTTCCAAGGTTGAGGCCATTCGTGACTTTCCTCCACCAACCTCCAAGCGTCAGTTGCAACGTTTCCTTGGCATGGTAAACTTTTATCGCCGGTTCCTACCGAACTGTGCCGACCTTATGCTGCCACTCACCAACTTGCTCTCTGGTCCCAAGGGTCCCCTTGAGTTACGTGGCCAGGTGCTGACTGCTTTTGAGAGAAAAAAGACCTCCCTTGCTGATGCTACCTTGCACACTCATCCTGCTCCAGAAGCCCCATTGTCCCTGATGGTTGATGCTTCGACCGTTGCCGTAGGAGCAGTCCTCCAACAGCATATCAACGACTCGCCACGACCGTTGGCATTCTTCTCCAAGAAGCTTTCACTTTCCGAGACGAGATAGAATAGAATAGGTTTATTGTAGCGCCCCTTGGGCACTGTCAGTCCCCTTTGAACTCAGGAAAAAAACCTAAAACAAACTCGTCAATTTCAACTGCAATTTGACATCATTTGCTTCGGGTGTCCGGTTAGCCAAAAGAGCGCGAATTGAGAGCTCGTTTTAAGTTACAAAAAACCTCAGTTCTAAGGGAAAATAATAAAAAAGTTTCAAAAAAACGATATGTACAATATAAAAATTGAAGTTTGCATTTTGGTAGATTTTGGGGGCATCAATAATATTTCCTTCATGACAGTTTTTTCTCCTGAGCCCTCCAAACCATAAAAACCACCATCAAATATATTTTTATCCCTTTAGCTCAGGAGTTATTCTCACTGCCGGTCGGAATTATGTTTAATCGCTTCCCTTGACAATGCCTGTAAACTGGCATTAAATAAAAATTTATTTTATTTATTTATTTAATTAAAGAACTTTGAAATCGACCTGACCTTGAAATTAATTTCCTGTTGGGTAAATTTCGGTGTGCTCTAGTTGCTGGTTATGTAGCGACCCTGGCCGAGATGAGGGTTAATAACGCTATGCTATTCCCCGTCTGGTCCCCAGTAAGAAAGAAAGGCGAGCTCCTAAGGGGGCAACTATTTGTAAACGACAGCAGACTATATTGACAGTTCGGGAACAGCGGGATGTCCTATGGCGAAGACAGGCTTGTTTGGATGCAAGCCTCGTTTGATCCGGGTGGCGAAGACGATGCAGGAGCAGCGGTGGCGTCCAGAAGTAGTCCTCCGGTCCAAAGGTGGTCAACGTCAATCCTCCTCGGTTTTTATAGGGCCTCCAGACGATTGGGAAAGGTTCACATAAAAATAGGCCAATGGGTATGCGTAAATCAATTGCAAGAATACTAGAATGTAAATCGTAGCCAATAGAATCTTCGGGACCGATTTTATTGACATTCTGGCCTAAACTGGTCTCTACTAGATCGCTGGTAGGCAAACCGAAATACCCAATGGTTAGTCGAAACTATTGACTTAATTCGGCGAGATCCAATGAGAATGGCAAGAATTTAAACAGTTGTCTAGTTTTGGTCATCGAACGAAGAACTGTAGCAGGACAATCTAGCTGAGCGGCAGATTAAAAAGTAAACCGTAAATTTCGACGACGACCTTAAAAAAATCGGCAAACGTCACTGTCAACGAGAGACGGCAGGGGCATTTTATCTCAATTTCCACACACAGGAGAATTCGAGTGTAGCTCTTCAACTCACACAATGTAAACTGTACCGCCAANCTTTTCTGTTAAGACTTGAATGCCTCTTCTTCCATTTTGCCCGCGTTTTCATACCTCACTCTCTATTTCTCCAGAAAACCTCCAACAAGCGAATTCCCTCCACCGCTTTATAGCGCCATGGGTGAGGATCGTCACTTTGTACCCATTGAGGTGAATCAGACTATCTGGACAGTGCCGTCACGATACACTTCCCTTGCCGTTGCTGGCCATGGGTCTTACGGTACAGTCAGGTGCGTTGCTGATCTCTGATAAGCAGTCGGCCTATTTTATGGTCAATTTTTACCTATTATATGCTATCGCGCCTTGGCGGTACAGTTTACATTGTGTGAGTTGAAGAGCTACACTCGAATTCTCCTGTGTGTGGAAATTGAGATAAAATGCCCCTGCCGTCTCTCGTTGACAGTGACGTTTGCCGATTTTTTTAAGGTCGTCGTCGAAATTTACGGTTTACTTTTTAATCTGCCGCTCAGCTAGATTGTCCTGCTACAGTTCTTCGTTCGATGACCAAAACTAGACAACTGTTTAAATTCTTGCCAACTTTCTTTTAGCAATACTCTAGACAAAATATTTGCTTTTGCCTGTATCGCTACCACTTTTTCCGGTTTAGTCTGTTTGGAAATCATTTTCATTGCAAACATTTATAAACCGTTCGGATACTGACATCTAGACCTTTTGCAGTTTTTGCCTAATTTTCTTTTTATTTATAAACATGAAAGGCTCGGATCTAACATCCTCTCCATATCTGACCTGGCCACATCTGTCTGTTTTTTAAATTTATAGCCGCAGTGACACGAATGCGGAAACCGGTTCTGTATATAATGAAATTGAAACGCTTTCATTCGGGTTAACACTGCGTGTAGATACGAATTTTAAGTGCTTTGCCAGTATCATGTTTTTTTAGTCGGCGGCAAATTCAAACTTTCGAAACTTGGTTTGGAGGCACCAGCCGTGGAATATTTCGACTTGTCTTACATCGTCAGTGCGCAAAGGTCATGTTTTAAACTCAGGTAAATCCGGAGGCGGCAGAATATGCGTGCAAGTTATATGCTGTGGTTAATTTGCCGATATAGTAGAGGAACTGAGACAGGCAAAATAACTGACCTTCGGATTTCATCGTTTCGGGAATCCTATTTGTGGCGCAAAGCCACGAAGCAGCACCTTCTTCGAACCGACTTGGAGGAAGGCGAAGACTGTGTGGTTCAGAGTGAATCCCGTCTGTTTGTAAAAACTAAACAAAACAATATCATGGACATATTCATTGGACACAGAGGGAATATTTTGCCCTACCTGGAAGTCTTTGTGTCCAGAAGCTCTGGCCAGAGCCGAACATACCACATAGTTAAGGCAAACTAGTAAGAGGACTTTACCATGTTGAACCCCAGCGTTGATGATGAGACAGTTGCTCATTCATCAGACCTTATTACCTTTGTTCTTATGGATTGATAATACCATTGGATTAGAGCCCCGTAGACATCTTTTGTCAAGTTAGCTGAAGGTTTTGTCAAAATCGAGGGTTACGAACAGCCGTAATCTACAGAAAGCAGTGCCATTGTTGTGTCGTCCTCATAGTCCCTTCCAAGAAGGCTACGGACCTCCTTTTTACGTCGAGCTTTCTTGGCATCGGCAGCAGTCCAGTATGATACCAAACAAAAACACTGCGAAATGTCCACTCGATTGAGACTCCAGTCACTGCTACTCGGTTGCCTGGCTTTTTAAGGAAGGGTAGCAGTCCTATTTTTCTGGCATTTGAAGAAATCTTCTGTGTAATATTGGTTTTCCCCAACACCAAGGCAACGTTTCCCAATTTCGCAAGTTTTTTGTCTGCACAACCGCACTGGATTTGTTGAGTGGTTAGACAGGTATAAAGATGTCAGCTCTTTTCTGATGTCGGTGGCTGGACAGTCCTTTGAACTGCCTTTGAGAGAGGAATTTGACGTAAAAATGGAGGCCGTTATGGCACAAGCGAACGTTTCTGCCACCAAGTAGACAGTAAAGACGAATCGATGTTGCTCGCAGGGTTTTCTCGATCCTTAGGAAGTGTCTATTAACCCGACTCAACATCACCGCCCCAAAGATCCGCCTGTACTGTGTATCCGCCCGGTCAGTCCTCCTCTACGGTTGTAAATGCTGGACTTTGTATGTGGAAAATGAGCGAAAACTAGAGGTATTTGACCACCGCTGCCTGAGTGCCGGCTTCGTCTCAAATGAGACAGTCCTCACTCACTGCGAAGACATCTCGAGGATATGTTTGGCCATCGAAGAAAGGAGACTGGGGTTGTTCTGACGCGTTCTTCGTCGTCCTCGTCGTCGTCCCCTCCTCCTCCTCCTCCTCCTCCTCTTCCCCACGAGCTCAATGTTACTAACGTCGATCGGGTACTGTCGCACACTTGGAGGCGTCGAAGAGGTCAACTCAGTTCGTCAAGACATGAACGCGGCCCACGGACCTTCGGAATTTGTCTACGTCGCTGGAGAAGAGAATGGGTCGAGCTACCCAGATCCGTTGCCACGGACTGTCACTCGTGAAGAGCTATAATCCGTGACGTCAACGAAGTCGGCTAGATAAGGCATGACCACAGCTGTATCAAGTACAAGCATCAATTATCTGCCATTGTTTTAGCCCTCGAAGAAGTTACCAGTGTAATGTTGAAGTTCCCCAACACTAAGACAACGTTGATCATTTCCGCAAATTTTGTGTCGCCACTATCGCACTGGTTTCGTAAAGTGATTAGACAGACGATGGACCATCCTTTTACTTACCTTTAAGGGAGAAAGCTGACGAAAACATGGAGACTACTATGGCACAAATCTAATAATTATGGTTGCGAGTTTTTCTGTTGTAATCATTCCGTAGCTGTCCCAGTATGCGAATACTGCGGAAATGGGACTTACACTGAGTGACCGATCTCATGAAATGCTTGCCGAATTTCCTAAATGCGTTTTCGACTAGGGAGAATAACCTAGGCGGGTTTGTAATATTGAGTAACATGCGGCATAATCCTCTAATATTTTGGACTCAGCAGAATGTCAGCTTTTGTGATGCGCTTCTTTCCAATCTCCTGTAGAGACCTTACTCGACAAAAAAATGACTGCTTAAGTAGCATGCAATTCTCACACGGATTTTCGGTAGTCTTATAAATTCAAATATGTTTTATATAAAAACATGGACAAGGCTATGCTTGCTTTTTTCAATCGTTTGATAGTGAATCACGCCATCTTTATATTTTATACTCAAAGGAGTATAATTAATTTTCAAAAAGTTTCCAATTGTGAGTTTTTTTTTTAAGACTGTGCAATGTCCCTTCATACAGCCTCGTACCTGTCCGTTTACCACTGCTCCTCATGAAATGTACGACATATTCCGCATCCATAGCAAAATTTCATAGACTTTACATGGTATCTTTTTAAAGGCATAAACGCATATATGGTTTTCCTTACGTTGAGCGCATGCACCCTGTAGACTGAAGTCGCTAAGCGCTGATGCAACGGCCGATCAGGCTCCAAATTATTCGGGAATTAGAAAACCTTTTCAAAACCTAATTACGCCCCTTCTTGGAGTACAAAATATAAAGATGACGTGATTCTCTATCAAACGAGTGAAATAAAGCATATTTTTGTCCAGCTTTTTTATATAAAATATATTTGAATGTATAAGACTATCGGAAAGCAATGTGAGAAGTGCATACTTCTAACGTAGTCATGCTACTTAAGTAGTCATTTTTACC